CTCCTTAAGGTATTTAATGTGTCCCCTAGCCGTAGTCTTTGTAAACTTTCACCAAACAACTTTTTCCTGAAGCTTCTGAGTAAGAGAAGGTAGGGGAGGATACTGATGGATTATATGATTCAGCTGTGAGTGATGTTAACATGGTTAATTGTGAAAACTTGAAACTCTAACATGGATTAAAATGAAGCCTCTCAGCATAGAGCTCACACCCATCATAAAGAGGAAATCCCTTTATACGCAGAGTGAGCAGAATCCTTTAGGCTCAGAGATCCTTGCACAATAAACCTCCCTGACCCAGGGGCAGAAAACTATGATGTCAGAGGAGTAGCAACATCAGAACCAACAGCCAAAGCAAAAGATAGAGTGGTAGGCTTCCCAGTCCACAAAGCAAGTAAAGGTAAGTGGCTTTGGGCAGGAGGTTTGCTTGAGAGTGGGGTGCCTTTAGACACTAGGTTGGGGGAGCTAGGTTTGCTGACCCACAGAGCTAAGAGTCAGGCTAAGACTTAATGGTGGATTGGTGAATCCTGTGGGCATTAGTCAAAGGATAGAAATGATACAAAGGGCTGTATCATGGCCTGGGCAGAGAGGGGCTGTGCAACTGGAATAACTGTTCCCTGAGCATTTCTGACCCTGAACTGTAACCTGTAAACTTCTCTAATAAACACCCCCTGAGTTCTGTGTGGCCATTGCAATGAATTCCTGGATCCAATCTAGTAGAGAATGATGTGGAGGAATGGGTGTTTTTTGTTTTTGTTTTTTTGCATACACCTTAATGTAAAAAACAGTAAAAAGAAATAAAGATGTTATATAATAAAGGGTCGATCCAACAAAAGGACATAACCATGATAAAAGCACAAAATACATAAAGCAAACTTCAACAGAATTGAGGAGAACAGACAACTGCATAATAGCAGGGGGCATCACCGTTAGTAAAGAGTCAGCAAAAAAGAGGGCAACCCTCCCTGCGATGGATTGATACAATGGCGGCAACACTGGGCGCAAACATAGGAGAAAGTGGCACAGGTCCAGGCAGTGCTTCATTCTATTTTATATAAGGTCATTGTCACACACGTTCCAACGGACTCGATGGCACCTAACAAAGTTTTCCTCTTGGACTCCATAACCATCATTTAGGCTCTGTAAAGTCACCCCCTGTGATTACTGGAAGACCTATAAACCCTCCCTTATGTTCCTTAAACTGACCCCAACCTTGTACAATCTAAAGTATAAAGTATCACTCTTTAATTCACAGTCTTCGAAGAGGTTAAAGAAGACTTTGATAACCAAAATTTATGCTTGAAGAATCTACCTACCATTTCTCCAGAAAAGTACATGAAATGGAAAAGACCTCAATTGAAGGACTCCTTAGAACTTCATTGGAAGGGTCTGTACTTAGTTTCTCCTCACCAATCCAAGTACAGCCAAAACAAAAGGAATTTAAACCTTGGATTCATTTATCACAATTTTGAAAAACTGAAAAAGCCCTTTGGACCAGCTGACCATCTTGAGACTTGAAAATTCAGATTATCAACTCCTATACTGAATTCTAGTCTTGTACCCAAAGCTACTGTTAACCCTAACATCACTCTTGAACAGGCCATCGGCATTAGATGATAGAGTCCTCTTCTATACTGTCAACAAAATCCCAAGTGCTTTGTTACAATTTAAACTAAATCCAAAAAGGATTTAACCCCACAGTGTCCTAAATAGCAGTATCCTAATCCCATAGATGGAGTCCTGCTGTGGCACTGTGGGTTCATGTGCTAGACTGCAAAGGCAGTTTGAACCACAAGGTCAGTGGTTCAAGCTCACCAGCCACTCCTCAGAAACCCTATACAGGACCACTATAAGTAGGAACCGACTCAATGGCACTTAACAGGAACAACAATCCGATACTGGATGGATTTTGTTATAGGATGCCTAATGTGACCTCCTGTAACATTCTACCCCCAAATTAACTAAGACTGGAACACTTAATCTATTTGTAATAATTAGCTAACAAAACCTTGGCTTGAACAAGTCAATGGAACCACTTCTTCTCCACTCAGTTATGCCAGGGACAACCTGCCTTGAGCTCCTTATAAATATGGACTTTTATAATTGTACCATCTGTAAGGTAAAATTATCTTACTATAAGTGAACAAAACCCAAATAACAAACCTCCTGCCTGGGCATTACCTTGCTTCAACAGTTGGAAGATGACAGGTTATGTTACGTCTTCTAAGATTTCCTGTAGATATCCACTCCTATAATGAAAGTATACCTTGAACTAGTGATCTAAAGACCTGAACCCAAAATAAAACTTTATGCCATCGCATAACATGATAACTGAAAAACCTGGGGTGAGATGGATAGATGCTCCTCCAAGCATGCCACTAAACTACGGTAATCCTGTTTTAAAAATCTATTTGCTATCTGCCTACTACCATGACTCAAATTGCTGATGCTATTGCAGATGGAATAGCAGATAGCCTGATTCCCTTCTAGCGTAACAGTGAGGAGTTTATGCCACAGCTAATACCTCCTACTGTACTGGGATTAAATTCCACAGCAGAACCAGATATTAGAAAAATCCACCAGTATGCTACTCTGTTATATCCGATACTTCCAATGCCTGACTCTCCCTTTTTAGGTATCTTCAGTTGTTTACACAATTGGTATTGCTTCTTGGTTGCGATCTATACTACAAATTGGAATATTTTGAATATAATAATTATTCCAAGCTTAATTAAATGTTTTACTAAATGCATGACTAACGCTTGTAACCAGAAAGGAATATCCCTCACTATGCAGAATTACGTATATTGAAGAAACCTATCACATATAGAATCTAACCTTTGTGATCCTTTCTGCAAATGTTTCCTATGCAATAAGCCAACACTGTAAAGCGTCTCTCTTGCTTCTAAGTGGTGCAGTTGAGCTTATAGTCTGAGCTAGCCTGATTTTGGTCCTTCAATGAGAACTTGTTTGCTGTAGTGGCCATCAAATGAATGAAATCACCCTCTGAAGGTGAGGCATATTAGCTCAGCAAGGTGAAGAAAGCAATTCTCATCAACCTAAGCCCCTTTAGAAAAAGGCAGGCAAGTCTCTTGCAGAAGAAATGCAATTCTATTATGAATGGTCAATGCCACCTAGCAGGGGCTTGATCAAAACATGGCAATGTGCTAGCAGAACTCAAAAGAGAGATATTTGGACAAAGCTTACAACCATAGGTTAACCTGCACTGCTCTAGGGGAAGTAAGGAAAAAGGGGGCAAATATGTGGTTGTGATTGGAAAATATGTGACAAGAATGTTCCAGGAAGCATAGGTTGAAAATGTTCTTAGGAAATATTTGCATAGATTGTTCTCAGGAAAATAGAACAGATGATGTTAATCATGATTTGCTTGCTTTCTTTGCATTTTTTTGAGTAAAAAAACTAAACAAACAAACACAAAAAAAACCTGCTGTTCACATATACAAGGCAGAATGCAAAAGACTTAGGGAGCAAGTGAGATGAGTGATGATGCTACACTTTGGGGGTTGCAATCTATGACATGAAACAAAATGTGTAAGAATTATTGAATGGAAAACTGATTAAAGATAAAAAGTTTAAAACAAAGCAAAACAGTAAAACCTGTTCCCCTTATGTATACTGGAGCAATTTAAAGTATTTCCACAAATACTTTTTTTCCTCAAAAAAACTCATTTCTTTCTACTTCAAAGTATGGGTTTGTTGCACATAGAATAAGCAACTATGTAAACAAACAAGATTAATCAAATTTCAATGGTAATGAATCAAATCAGTCTGCTATTTTAAGGCCCAGAACCACAATATTTTTAGGTTTCCTAAAAAGATGAGGCTTTCTACTCCCGTAAAGATTTACACCCTCGGAAACCCTGTACAGGGTCGCTATGGGTTGGAACTGACTCGGCGGCACTCAACAACAACAACAAGGGTTGAATAGGGATATTACTAATTATTGTCAATTTATCTCAAACTTAAATTCAAGTAGAATTTCCAACCTTTATTATTCTTTTTTAAAAAACTACTTTATTTCTTGTGGTTGATATTTGAAAACCATCTCTCATTTCATAACAGGTAAAAAGTTATCAGCCTTAAAATTGTGGGTTTGTTGATAATTTAAAAAAAAAAACACTCTTGAATGTTCTATGGCAAAATTCACACATAAACTGTCTTAAATGTGATCACTCAGAGAGGTGAGGTTTGATAAAAAGAAGTGTGTCTGATTCTTAGGGTGTAAACTGTATCTCCATGGCAGAACTTGGATTTTTCAGACAGACCAGGTAGGCTGGATTTGGGGCAGTGGGAGGCTGTGGTGGAAAGGGGGTGGGGAGGGAGAGTTTGTAAGCACAGGCAAGCTGCAGGTTCTCTATGCACTGACTCCTCTGTGACCTGAGACATGTGGAAATGGAAGTGATTCTAGGGCCAGGAATCAATGTGAGAAGCTGTGTTTCCAACATGACAGATGAAAGGTTTCATAGAACGCAGAGGTTCCAGATGCCACAGCTGCTTGGGCACCAGGAACATTTTCCCGCATTTCTCACAGGACCACAGGCCAGTATCCTCACTGGTATGCTGCTGTTAGGCATCTCTTCCTTTGCCACTTTCACAGCCTCCTCTCTCACATGGACGTTCAGTTGCTTGGAAAGACGCGGAGGTCAATCACAGAGGCAAGAGGAGTTTTCAGAATCAAATTTGTTTGGAAGTTTTGAATGCCTTGTCCTCTTTTGCTGAGATCACATGGTTTACTTTTTCATCATAAATGGCATGAGAACTAGAGGTTGGGGACGGGATCTTCACTATGCCGTGCTGAGTCTGACAGTGTGTCCACACTTTAAAATTTGTGTGAAATCTCTTGTGACAAATGTCACAAGCATAGGGCTTTTCAGGGTTATGGTAAATGTTAATGTGACGGTGAAGACCTGCTGTTGATTTAAAGATCTTAAGGCAATGTTTGCATTTAAATTCTTTGTTGGGTCTCCTTCCCTCCAACTCACCAAATTCATCTTTATTCATGTCAGAATCTGGAAAGTCCGCCTCCAGGAGACTAGGACTCAAGCCTTCCTCACAGTTCTCTTCCAGCACAGAGCCGTGCTCATTAACCTTTAGCTTCTTGAAGGGCAACCTTCTGTCCGCCTGGAACCTCCTCTTGGCTGGGAATCTGCTCATTTCCTTTGGATCCTCCTCTGTTTTCAGAGAAAAGTCCCTTGTGACTGCTGACCCTCGGGCTGCTGCCGGTGTTGCTGCTACATCCCCCACGGTGACTCTGATGATGTCTGAAGGGTCTGGGAGTGGGCTGCTGGGCTCCGTCTTTATGCGGACCTCCGTGACGGGTGGCGAGGGGGCCTCCCTGTCAGTGGACTGAGAAGCACTAACGCTATTGTGACACTGGAAGTGACTGCAGAGGCGGAAGCTTGTGCTAAAAGCTTTGTTGCAAACCTGACAGATGAATGGTTTCACAGAACACAAGAGCTCCTGGTGACTCGCCAACTGCTTGTGTACTGTGAAAGTTTTCCCACACTTCTTACAAGGCCACAAAACAGTGTCTTTGCTGGTCCCTGCTTCTTTGGGAGCGATGCTGATGCTGGTCTCCATCACCTCTGCCTCTGCCTCTTCAGTGGGCTCCTCTTTCACTTGGCTTTTCAGATTCTTAAAAAGACTGAGGTCTTCAGAGATGCTAAAAGAGTCTTCAGAATCAAAGTTAATTTGTCTGGAAGAACTGATAAACATATTATCCTCTTTTGCTGAGATCACATGGTTTACTTCTTTATCCAAAACAGCATGTGAACTAGAGGCTGGGGACGGGATCTTCACTATGCCATGCTGAGTCTGACAGTGTGTCCACACTTTAAAGTTTGTGTGAAATCTCTTGTAACAAATGTCACAAGCATAGGGCTTTTCAGGGTTATGGTAAATGTTAATGTGACGGTGAAGACCTGCTGTTGATTTAAAGATCTTAAGGCAATGTTTGCATTTAAATTCTTTGTTGGGTCTCCTTCCCTCCAACTCACCAAATTCATCTTTATTCATGTCAGAATCTGGAAAGTCCGCCTCCAGGAGACTCGGACTCAAGCCTTCCTCACAGTTCTCTTCCAGCACAGAGCCGTGCTCATTAACCTTTAGCTTCTTGAAGGGCAACCTTCTGTCCGCCTGGAACCTCCTCTTGGCTGGGAGTCTGCTCATTTCCTTTGGATCCTCCTCTGTTTTCAGAGAAAAGTCCCTTGTGACTGCTGACCCTGGGGCTGCTGCCGGTGTTGTTGCTGCATCCCCCACGGTGACTCTGATGATGTCTGAAGGGTCTGGGAGTGGGCTGCTGGGCTCCGACTTTATGCGGACCTCCGTGACCGGTGGCGAGGGGGCCTCCCTGTCAGTGGACTGAGAAGCACTGAAGGACCTAAGGCGATGTGGCGAGAGGATTGGAGTCCTGTTGTCCAGGGCTGTGCTCTCACTACCATCTTTTAAAGATGAATTTTGAGCTAAAACACAAAGCACATTCCCTGGCACAGCGTTAGACATGGAAGAGGATCCCTGGGGACATGTCAAATCTATCGAGGGTGAATACATAGGAACCTGGCTATCCATCGACAATGACCGTCTGAGGAGACTCTTGACCAGCGGGCCACTTCTGTCAATGCTCTGCTTTCCAGAACCAGGCTCGCCGGAGGGGATCACCAGCCCCAATTTTGAGTAGTACAATAGGTTTCTGTCTTCAGTTTGTCCTCCTCCTGTGGGAGTCTCCTTCAAGAGATAGGGGACCTCCAACGAGCTGCACAAAGACAAAACAGGCGGCCGTGCTTTTTTCAAAACCAGCTCCAGGGCCTTTCCTTTTGGAAGCTGACCACTCACACCTGATGGGTCATCAGCAGCTGCTCTCTCTGGGAGCGACTTTGAAGGCAATCCCGTATTCCTTTTGGCTAAATCGATTCTACTGGGATCATCCAAAGAGCCAGAACACTCAAGAGGCTTTGTGTATCCCACAGAACTATCTCGTGGCCAACTCTTTTCGCTGAGTGACAGACTATGAAGAGGGTCAGTCGGTCTGGGGACATGAGGCTTACTGGAACTGGTCTTGGTGGCAATGCTGGCTGGGGGCCAGGAAGTATGGCTTACATTGGGTGGGTTCTGACTAACAGTTTTCCCTTGTGCTTCATTTCTACTCTGACAGACAATGACACTTCTCTTTTGGGAGCTGTTCTCATCATCTTCTAGGAAAACTTTTTTTCTACTGGGACACGTCAGGAAGGGGGCTTGAGGCATTTTAGAAACAATGTTAGTCAGGAAGGAAATCCCCAAACTATAGCCAAGTTCTTGCACTGCAGCCAGGCTGCTCTTCTCAACAAACAGAGACGAAGAATAGATGTAGTTCAAAACGCTGTCAAAAGCATCGGGTTCACAGAAGTCGAGCTGAAATACAGTTTGTGACTCGTTCTCCTTATTTGTGAATAAACTCTGGAAGTATTCACTGCTGGCAGCCAAGACGTTTTTATGAGCTCGAAACATCTGGTCTCCAACCATCAGAAGCACATCACAGAGCTGTCCTTTGAGGCGCTCCTTGTTGAGAGCACTCAGGAGAGAAATGGCATGTGCTGGGTTTATGTAATGCAGTAATTCCTCCATTGTTTGGGTCTATCTGGAAGACAAACGTACAACCATTACAAATAGTGCAATGAAAAGTTCTCTGAGAGACTGAGGGCCCCTCAAGGGCAGGGAACGCCAGCCATCTTTATGTAGGTGCCAAGATTTAGCAGAAGAGTAAGCAGACAGAGGTTTCTGAGTGAACAATCTTACTTGAAGAATACTGAAAATAGAAGTCCCAGGCTTAAGAAGGTCCTCAATCATTAAAATCAAAGAATTTTAGGATCTAAGACTGCAACATTGGTAGTTATATACAATGCCAGAACTTAGCAGGTGTGTAGGAAAACAATATGTGAAAATCAAAGGTTTATACATATGGTTTTTATCCATCAGATGGTTGGTTCTATTTATTGGTTGAGAGTAAAAACTCAGACTATTACATCTACAACTAACAGGAAAATCATTTTTATTATTGTATCAGCAGTTCGAAACCACCAGCTGTTCCACGGGAGAAAGATGAGGCTTTCTGCTCCCATAAAGATTTACAGCCTTGGAAACCCTGAACAGGGTCGCTATGAGTCGGAACCAACTCCAAAGCACATAACAACAACAACATATGGTTAAAGGTAATAAGAATTGCTATCAATAGGTTGCAAAATAGAGGTCATGCCAGACTTTTGAAAAGTAAGAATTTGGACACAGAAACGTCATTTGTTAGTTACTACTGAACAAGTCCTGGTATGGCACTATAGGATAAGCACTGAACTATTACCCACAACACTATGGCACTTAACAGCAACTGAACACATTTAACAAAGGGTAAAATCGCTCAATAATGAAAAAGTTTGTTTCCATTCTCAGGCTATGTTTTTTTTGTTGTTGTTATGTGCGGTGGAGTCGGTTCCGACTCATAGTGACCCTGTACAGGGTTTCCAAAGCTGTAAATCTTTACGTGAGCAGAAAGCCTTATCTTTCTCCCTTGGAATAGCTGGTAGTTTCGAACTGCTGACCTTGAGGTCTGCAGCCCAATTCATAGCCACTACATATGGCTATACATCTCTGCAATCTCTCCAATTATATTTTCTTACCAAGTCACATTTTCAACAATAGCACAATGGAAACGTCAACCTGGATCTGAACTTAAGTATTTCTAATTCTAAATTAAGGGGGCTGAGTTGGGATTTTATTGAGATTCTCTTCCAATATTAAAGCAAGGTAGTGGCTAGCGTTTTCTGAGGTAAAAGCTTAGTGGCTTGGGATGTCTTGTCGGATTGACCTGTATGAGCTGGAAATATCTGTTAGCCTCTCTGAGCTAACCTAGCCTATCGGGTAGCAGGGTGTATAATAGTAATCTTACAAGACTGGGTAGAGGCAATAGCCCTCCTGCCAGGGATCTCAGCTTTGAGCACCAGGAGTGAAATGAGAGGGAGAACTGTGACCCTCATAGGCTTGTTACAAACACTGGATGAGTTAGCAAACAATAAGCAGTAAGCACATAGTTAATACTTTGATACATTTTCAGAAGGCCTATATTAATAGGTGGAGTCCTGGTATGGCGCTGTGGGTTAATGTGCCAGACTGCAAAGCCGTGTGGTTCAAACTCATCAGCGGCTCCTGGGAAACCCTATACAGAGTCACTCTGGGTTGGAATCAACTCGACGGCACTTAACAAAAAAAAACAACATATTAATAGGTAAGGAGCTCTGATAGTGTAGTGGTTACAAATCGGGCTTCTAACCTCAGGGTCAGCAGTTCGAAACTACTAGCTGTTCTGAATAGGAAAAGGTAAAAATCATTCACTGCCCTCTCCACCCAGGAGGCAAGCTAAAATGCTAATCAGGTCACCAAATGGGATCAATCTCCCTGTTTTTCCCCCTGCCTTCAAAAAGGTATGCAGTCTGGCCCCTCCTGACTCTGACCCCACATAGGCCTCTGTTGCCCTCCATTAGGGGCTCAGAATCTGGAGAAATAAGCTTCTCTGAGTTAACCGGCTTAAATAAAATCTGAAACTCTGTTTCACCTCTCTGAGTGGCCTCTGCTTCTTCAACCACAAATCTTAAAACTGTTTTAACATTTGGTTCCCTGACTGGGAAACTGACCACACTGGCCCCTTGAACCACCGTATCAGAGTCAGGGAGTGACTAATGGCGAGCTCCTCTTGGCGGATGAGACAGCGTGGAGCTCTTCTCGGTGGATGAGACAGCGTGCCACCGCCACATTTGACGGTCCCTCCTCCTCCAAGTAGGAGCAGTCAGCCACGGTACCCACCTCTCCCAACTGTACTCAAAAGGAGAGGTAGAACCAGAGAAACCAGCCAAGAGTTCTGGAACAGATATGGCCCTGGGGCCTGAGTCAAACCCAGTCAGGTCTGTCCCTATGGACAGAAGTGGAAGGCTGATCCCCTTCCGAGGTCTTCACCTAGAGGCCTCAGTCAGGGACTCCCCAAAAGGGCAGTGGAATTGCCATAAACTCTGTGTGACTGGTTGAATGCGAGTGTGCATGTTACCAAAGCGCAGCTTGTTGTGCCTGATCTGTATGGTTACACGGCTCTGGATATGGAATGAGTGGGAACCTGCTGTTCTGTGAGGATGTCATAAGGTATAGCGGTGACTCACCCTCAAGAGAAGGTGACCTGGCCAGGGTTTACACAGGTGAACCATAGCCAAGACATGTCTAAGTTCCCGAGAGGGACGCGGCCAAGTGGGCAACTGAGTGAACACCCACCGCTTGTCTGCTGCAACACTGATCAAGAGCACTACATACAGTTAGGTACAATGGGAATTCTCTTAGTGAGCCAACAGCCTTAGGATGTATGTTAACAGATTTAAAAAAGGGGGGGGGGTGTGAATGGGAATTATGATTACGGGAAGTTTGTAAACTGGCCTTTGGCATACACTTTATTGGATTCATTAGAACTTTGAGGTGATATCTTGACCCAGAACCTGAGTTAATGCATTTACATTTGAAAAGATATGCACACCCACCCAGAACTGTTGAAGATTTGTGAGTTTTGTTTTTTTTTTTTTAAAAAAAGGGAAGTATGGCACAGAGTGGACTCCTGGTTCAAAACTCTCCAAAGCTAAAGACGCTTGAAAATTCTCGTGAGAGAAGCAGCAAAGTCTGGATCTGTCTGTTGAATCTTTTCTTGGGAGTCTTCGGCCCCGTGTCTCCTGCATTCACCTCCGCCTTCACTTTGAGATCCCCTTTTGCTTTATTCTGGGTGCACACATCGGGGCATGATAGACAGGAAGTAATTTACTAAAAGTGCCCCATCTGTTTCTGTTAAGGTTTACTTCTGTATCTAAAAGAACAGTGCTATAAAGCGTAATTCTAACTGGTTTCTATATGGATACCCTCCTATGACATCAAAGGAAATGGTGTTTTACTGTAATACAGCTTGGCCAATATACGATCTAGATAATGGGAAAAATAACCTTTGATTGGACCCTTAAAATTATTAGACCATCTTATAGCTTGAATTGTTAAACCACTATGTCAGATTGTCTATTTGTTTGTAATATTACTATGCTTTTCTCCTGTCTTTATGTTTAAGAAACTTAAAACAACTTGGAATTCCAAGAATATGTAAGTTATATTGTGTATATGTATTATAGTGAAATTATGCCGCTAATATGAAAGCCAGGCAGAGGAAAAATTAATACAGATGGATATTAGGTAAAAACAGTTCTAAGAAGGCCTGTACATGAATATACAAAGATATAAATGGTTACTTTTTGTGATCATTTTTACATTATTACAACCTTTGATACCCCAGCAGCTGCCATTAGAGAAAATTATATAACTTGTCCTAGTGAACCTGCTCGGCCATATTCAGCCTCTGAGGAAAGCAGTTTGGAAGTGATTTCTGTATACCATACCCTTTTAGGGCCGCATTTTGGTAGAGGGCTACCTAGAATAGAGGTTAAGGCAATACCCCCTCTGCAGATGCCACAGAACTGAATACGGAAGAGCAAGCTGCAGGATATTACTGGGCACATACTTCTTTCTCTATCTTGGACTTGTTAAACAGGAAAAATTCAAATCCTTCTTATTGAGATGTTGTTGTTCAGTGCTGTGGCGTCAGTTCTGACTCACAGTGACCTTGTGTGAGTTTTCCGAGGAGCAGCTGGTGGACTTGAACTGCTGACCTTGTAGTTTGGATGGACTTGGTAGTCCAGTGCATTGACCCACAGTGCCACACCAGGATGACCTAACCAAAATAACAAATTTAATAACCACTATTTTTGCTACGCATCATCCTAATTGGACAGATAGATATTCAGGCTCTGTTAACAATGATCCTGACCAGGGATGAAAAAGGCTGGTCTGACATAAGTCATGGGATGAAACAGCACACATCCACACACAAAAAAAAGAACCCTGAACAGGACGCTTGCCCCAGTCAAGCAATTCCTCTAGCTGACACAAATTAAAATCTAGACAGTCCTGCCACGACTGGTGGTGGTGATGTTTATGTGCCATGGAGTCGGTTCTGACTCATAGTGACCCTGTGCAGGGTTTCCGAGGCTGTAAATCTTTGCAGGAGTGGAGGGCCTCATCTTTCTCCTGCAGAACAGCTGGTAGTTTCAAACTGCTGACCTTGCTGTTCACAGTCCGATTCATAACCACTATGCTACACTGGAGCACTATAAAAAGTGCATTCTCAAAGGTCTAAGAAAGGGAATTCCTAAACAAACAAAAAAATTTTTGAACATGGTACAAGCAATTCAGCAGAAGCCAACTGAGGACCGCTCTGAATTCTTTAAATGAATCTACCAAGGTTACTGTAAGTACAGACCTTGATCCTGAGAACTCAGCAAATATCCAAATAGTTAACATGATTTTTTATCTCCCAAAGCACCCAGGATTTTAGAAAGAAATGGCAGAAATTTGACAGGGCAATTGGCATGAATCCATCCCAACTGGTGGACATCACCTTAGAAGTATTTAACAGCTGAGAGCACGAGAAATCTCAGGCCATAACTGTCTTCCTAAAAGACCACTAGAGGTAAGTAAGCCTGTGGGACCCCAGGGAGGACCCCGGA